TGGGGCTCAAGTGGCTTCAAAAACGAACCAAAGATGGAAAGAGGGGGGAGCATGCCCTGCATGGTGCTGTCCATCGCCAAGGACAGGGCACCTCTGCTTTGGTGATTACACACACAGCCTACTCCACTGCCCGCCGCCAAAGCCACCCCTGCACGGGTTACACCCAGAAGATAACGAGACTGGGCACCCCAGGGAGTCCAAGAGAAGTGGTCTAGGCTAGAACACAGGGCCCCAAATCACAGGGAGGGGCCGTCCAGAGGAAGAGACGGGAAATCCCTATGAAGATGAGCTTCCTGGGGAGAGCACGACGGGAAGGCTGCCCCACCCAAAAAGGGCAAAGCGACACTACAACGGCACCGGCAGCCCTGGGCCCCCGGGAGAAGCCGCTTCCACAAGGCCAAGCTGAGAACTGGTTTGGAATCCAATAGAGCCAAACAGCTAATAGCAAAGCTTAGGATCGCAGCAGGCTACAAACCAGGCCAAGGATCTCTTGGCTCCTATCTTTCACATTTTCTTAGTTTTTTTTTTTTTTAACTTTTCATTTCCCTATAAAAGTTCCTTTTGAAAAATTCCAGTCTCATCCTAGACCGCCAGAGCAAAGGGCTCCGCACACTCCCGTGGCGGCGGTGACGGCGGCCAGCCCTGGGGTCCTGTCCTCTCCACGGTCCGTCCTGCACTTCTGAGAGCGCACGGAGGAGGGGTGAAGAGCTGATCAGAGAGGGATAATAGTAAAAAAAAATGCCTCCCAAGAATGGGAGGAGGAGGGAGGGTAAAGGGGGGTATTTCCTTTGAAGCTTCCACTCCATCGGATGGCACCCCTTCCCGTCTTCAAAGAGAAAGAGCAATTCACACACAAAAAGAATCACTCCTGAATCTTGAGAGCATCAAGATCCCATTATGCCACAAGTCCAAGAAGCATTCGGGGTACCGAGCCCTAATTCTAACGGCCTATGGGCAGATTGAATGACTTCACAATCCAGCTAGCAAGCAGCGACGAGGCCTCCAGGCCCCTCTCTCGGCCTTCCCCTGGTTTGCACAGCCTCCTCTTCCCAGTCCCGCCCCTCTCCCTCACGGCTGGCCTCTTTTCTCTCCTCTCCGCTCCCCAACAGACTGGTTCAGGAGATGTCAGGATAAAGATTTGCAGCTCCTTCCTGGGCCCTGCCCTGTCTCTTAGCCCCCATCTCCCCTTTCCTGTATTTGTCCACATCGGGGGAGAGGAGGCAGGTGGGGGCGAGGGGGCCCGTCTGCACATTTGGAAGCTAGTGCAAGGCCCGGTCAGCTGAGGAACCGTCACTTAGTAAGGACGGGCACCCCGAGCAAGCCTCGCTCAGGAGGTGTTCTGGCTGGAGCGCGGGACTCCAGGCTCTTGAAGGAGGAGGAAGAGAGCCCGTGGGGGTGAGCGGACTCACGGCGATGTTAGCAGCACACTGCTGTTACGTGCCACACTGCTGTTACGTGCCCCTGTCTCCGCCTGTCTGTCTTCCCACCTCTGTATGCGCGCTCCACCCGAGGCCTGTTCTTCGGCCCCTGTTCTTCGGCCTGTTCTTCGGCCTCCCCTGTTCTTCCCCCCCTCCCTCGCTCCCTGTTCCTTATTTCGTTCTAAGACACAAGACGGAGGACAAACCTAGGAATGAACAGGATGGGAAGCCAAGTGTCCCAGACAGCTCAGTCCGGACAAGGGCTGAGAAGGACCGAAGAAGCTACGGATCCACACACCCACCTCCCCTCTAGCCATACTGTGTTTCTCCCTTCAGAATAAGTCCTCTCTGCCTAGCTGACTGCCCCCAGCCCCCTGCCAGCTCCCCAAACTCTCCTAGTGGCCACCTGTCCACATCACTACTTCTTGCTGGTGGAGGGAAGCTGGGGGTAAGATGGGTGAGATCAGGGGGTAATTAGCTCCTGGCTGGTCAATCATCCTCCTGGCCAATTTCCCACAAGACAACCCACCACGCAGGCAACCCTCCCTCGCTGAAAACCCAGTTTCTGTGAAGACTGTGCTTCCCCCACACTGAGAGGGTTGTGCTCAAGGGAGCCCCGTAAAGAATGACGGCCATTTTCTGAAGCCCCAGAAAGCCGTGGGCCCATTCTGAAGAGCCACGATGTTCGAGGACCATCTCAGGAGGAAGAAGAGAAAGAGACCTCTGAGAGGACTTGAAGAATCTGCTTGATGGGAGTCCACCTCTCTGTGTGCTCTGGGATTTTTTTTTTTTTTGGCCTCTTTCACCTCCACGTACTTATTTCTTTGTCTCCACGCCTGACTCAACCATGACCTTCACTGGCCTATCTGCTTTCCCTCTGAGGGGTGGGAAGAGTTGGATTCAGGTCCCTGCTCAGTAACTGTGTCCTTCTGGTCCAGGTTGTCCATCCCCACTGGTCTCCTGCCTGGGATCCAACTCAAGTTGTTGACCAGAAACATCCCCAGCCCCTGACTGTGGGAAAAACATCCAAGATCATTAGAAATTAGCCTTCATCAAGGACCAGTCTACTACTCGCCCGCCAACATGGGCTCCCTCCATGCCTCTCGTGATGCTACCGCCACTGCCTCAGTGACACAACCGTGATGCCCCAGCCTCGCCACATCCAGGCATGATGGACACGGCTGCTCCCCAGTAGCTCATTCCCTCCTCTCCACCTGTTTCATCCTTGATCTATGGAGGGGAGAGCATCTTGCAGAAGTTGATTTTTTGGGTCTGACTCTGACAAGCTCCTCATTGTCCATCTCATCTCCCCATCCAGATCTGAACCCCATGATAAGATCATCAGGAATTGCCTTGGGCATCAGTAAGATTCTGAGGGTGTAAAGAATAGAAAATGGGTGTAAGTGAGTAAATGCTGGAATCTTGGAAGACTCTGACAGCTCTATAAAATTTTCTTTGTAAATTAGAAGAACCATATTTAGTGGGAAAAAAAAGACTTTGAAGACTTAGCAAGTCAAGTTATAATTTAGCTCATTTCAGGGCTCTTTCAGCTCTCTCAGTCCAAGCTCTGCGCCTAATTATTGTCACGGGTCTCCATCTTGCCTCAGTCCTTCTCACCCTTGTCTTTTTCTCCCCGTTTCTCCCCCCTCTCATACCTGGCCTACTGTAGCTCCCTCTACATTTCCTCCACCCACCCACCCCACCCCCGCCCAGAACTATGGGCCAGAGCCCCTTAGCCTGAGTAGCTAATCCAGTTGACTTTGTACTTCAATTGTGGGCCTGTGGTTCCCCAGCCCTCAACAGACCCCTAAGTAAGGGTGATTCCGGGACTCAAAAGCATTTCTTCACTCCTCCTTCAACATCACCTTCTCTTAGCTACCTCAACACTGCCCACTCTGCAAGCTCAGTAAAGCTCACTGATGCAATGACTTGATAAAGGGAACACAGAAGCCAGCCAGGATAGGACAGGGCCCAGGGAAATGGGTGTGATGCAGGAAGTTTCCTTTTTTCTGTTCAAAACTTTATGAGCTGTAAGTATTACGTACTCTCCAGAGTATTCAGGAAACTTCATTTATAGACACCCTCCCTGTCAACTAGAATATGACAAATAGGTTTTCCTGGTCTCAGAGCCACCAAGGAGAGTTCTTCCCTTTCACCCCCAGTTGTGACCCTTGAGTAAGTTGACAATTGTGACAATGACTGATGGGAATTTCCAGTCAAGCCTTGAATCTTACCATTTCCTTTTCACAGGAGACAACTAGGTGGGCTCCTCCCCCCGGCCCCACCTTAGCCATGACCACAGCTGTTATGCATGAGGTGACACAGCTCATCCAGTGCTGCCCACACCACCTCCCATTCTTGTCCTCACCTGCACCTCCCTCTCTTGCCTCACTTGTAACAGGCCCCATTTAAGATAGACTCGAGAAGGACAATCTCCCCTAAATTCCTACTTCCCATCCTTTGTACTCCCAGCTTGAGCACACACCAACACTCTTACTCTTCAGTTCAATCCTCCCTTCTCATCCCCCAGTGGTGGGATGGCCCCCGCGATTCTCATGACCACAGGTGAAGACAGAGAAATCAACCAAATGGCTTGTTTTCCTGGCTCTCCCTTTTACTTCTTCACTCAGTTCCTCCGTAAGAGGAGCAAGAATAATAATGGTGATAGCTAACACTTACTGAGTGTCAACTATGTACCAAGCACGTGTGTGCTGGGGAGTCTAGTCTAAGTCCCTGCAATCCCCTCTTTCCTTTGTCATCTCTTTAACTTCCTGTCTCATCTCTTGCCATCTCTGACTCTGTCTTCTAAAAGCTTCCTGAGGGTGTCCAGCCATTGTTCCAGAGGCCACATTATCTGCAGCTGTACCCTTAAAAGATAGATCACTCCATTCCTGTGCTCCAGCCATCCTACATACTTGAAGGAATCATCTCACAGACGAGGCCTCCCCTTTCACCACCCAAGCCACTCTTACTTAGAGGCCTTTGCAGAGAGACCATTTCCATTGGCCAGAACACCACAACCACAACCCACTAGCCGGGTCTCCAACCCCAGGGCTTTTAGAGCCCTTAGCAGGGACCCCATCATTTCACCCAGGTCCCAGAACCCATCCAAGCTGTAGGAATAGCCCCAGTGTTTCATACAGCCTGCAGAAGCTGCAACAGACCCCTTAAACGCCTGCCCTCTGGGCACTACCAGGTCCTCTGAGCATCCCCAGCGGCCGTTCCTTCTCCCGCCCGCTCACTGTCCACCGACACTTTTTAGCATCAAACCCCCTCTGTTTAGTGGCTTGTTCCGTATAACGGCCCTATATTCTTTTGGGGGATTCGTTTTGTACTTTTAGATGCCCTCATGTGCTCTTTCTTTGAGAGAGAAATCGCCTTTCACCCTTCCCCAAGCGGCCACAGGCCCCTGAGCATGAACGGCCGGAAGCCGAGGGCCAGAGCCGTTACTCCAGGGCGCGTGCTGGGGCAACCAGGGCGACCGGTAACGGCCGCGGGCTTCCCAGACTCATCGCTCATTGGACTGCTCACCTGTCAATCACTTATGCTGGGCCAATGAGCAGACCCCTGACAGGAAACGCGGCTTGGAGGCCATGTTAACGGTTCTCTGAGCCCGGGGGTTGTGGGGCTCGCCCCACCTTATGCTCTGCGCGCTGGGGCCGGTACATCATGCGCAGGGGGACCTGGGGAGGAGCGTGGAGAAGGTCGAGTCAGCCTAGACCCACACACAGGTTGGGATCTTTGGAGACTCTGGGGAAAGGGCCTAGAACCATCTCAGCGCTGGGGTTTAATAATGGGGGTAGTGTTGGGCCTCCCTGGTGGCTCAAGGGGTTAAGACGCAGCCTCTGCAGCACGAGTTCGATACCCGGCCAGTCAGGGAGCAACCCACATGGCGCAGCAGACCTCTCCTGACTCGCCCGCTGCTCCCCTCAGCAGTGTGTTTCAATAGATCTACCTGTTCTGTTCCCCACTCTGTCTCTGGAGAATCCTCTCACACCCCCCCCACACACACACACACACCTCTGGCCTGTACCCCAGCTCTTGTATGCATAAATAAATCTTAAAAAATATAATAATGGGAATAGTGTTAAGGCTGCTCTTGGTTAGTCTCCCTCACATACTCGACCTCACTTGCTGATTCTTAAGAAGTGCTTGGTACCCCATGATCGCTCTGACCCCTTTTATTTTTCATATCTTGGAAGACACTGTGCCCCAAGAAAGGGAGAAGCCAGCTTAACCTCGGTTGTGAGCATCAGGGAGACAACAGGTGGGCGGTGGAGAAGCACTTCCCAGAGCCAGAGCAGGGGCTGCTCTCCAGGATAAGGAGGGGTGACTTCCAGCCTGAGGGAGAAGCCTAGGGCCAACCAGGAGGCACTTGCTTACTAGGAGGGCCTCTGAATTTGGGCTCAAAAGACAAAGGAAGCATTGTGGTCTGCTGTCTGGGCAAACAAGTTTGAGGTGAGGGGCAGCTGTGGAGACTGAAGAGTCACCTCCAGCCCCATTTATGGGTTGTTTTGTCTCTTTCTTGTAGTTTGCTATAAAAGGTCCTTTTGAAGAGTTCATTCTCATCAAGTTGAGCAAGGATCTGTTGCCACAGAGGAGGTGGCCCTGCTTTGCTGCCATCTCCATTTTCTCCAGCAGCACCACCTGCAACAGCTGACAATGACTGTGGGGCTTTTCCAGTGGATACTAGAATGTCATTTTCTACAGCCAGGCGGGAATGCAGAGTAATTGTTGGGCAGCAAGAGGTGAGTGGGGGAGAGAAGTAGAGCTCTGTCTCCTCTAGCCAGCCCCCCCTCCTCCCTCCTTTACTTTCCCCAAAATCCTTCTTCCCAAGGCTTCCCTTCTCCCACTGTCTGGCTAGCCCGGTCCACTCCAATTTCCATTTTTCACTTCTTTGCCAGAAATTCAGGAAGGGCTTCCTGGCCCAGGCTCTCTCTTGCTGCTCCACTGAGAAGTAATCAGTTTCCTGAAAGTTTGAAAAATTGCTTTTCAGCCAGAGGACACCAAATCAGTTTAGAGGGATGGTCTGTAAAGTACTGTTGACAAAGCTACTTCTCTGACCTATGGGGCATCCGAGCACTTGACACTGTACCCCATGGATTACAGGTTGTCAGCTGCACAGGTAGAATTCAGTTGTCTAGACCCAGAGCACCTCTTGCGACTTCGGTTTCTACCGTAAAAGATTGTACTTCTCAAACCACCTTCCCCACTTTGCCCACTCTGTCTCTTTTTTCTTGATTTTCACTCTGTTCCATCTGTCATGTCTTTCTCTCTGGCCTGATTTTCTTTTCTTTCGCTTTTGTTTTCTGAGGCCAAACAGGAGCCGGGGAAGTTGTGACATGGAGGTCATCCAGAGGAGCACCCCCGAACCTGAGCATCCACCATAAGAGCTAGACCCCTTTTCGTCTACCCTAGCAGGAGCAGACGTTGCCGCCGCCTATCCTCAAATGCCCTTTCAACCACCACTTTGGTACCGGGTTTGTTCTCCAGGCCTGCTACAGATGGGTGCACCCCACTCTAACCCATCACCCCCAGACGTTAGAACCACTGACACCTGCCTCCCATGCTTCCCGTGGCAGGCCTCTACAGAAGCAAAACACAGTCACCTTAGACTCTGGCATACTGAGGCCCCTCACCTTCCTGCCAGTCTGTGTACTAAAATATTAAATCATATTCATGTGCCTGAAGTAAGATTGGAGTGTTCATTGTTTCCAAATGTAACACTAAATTGCCTTCCTCCTTCTTCCTCCTCCTTTCCCTTTTGTATCCTTGCTGGGACCAAAAAACGATCAGGAGAGGCTGGGAATGAAGGTACAGGTGGGAAAGTATGACAGCATCCTTGTCCCAGAGCGAACATGAACTCCGCTGCACACTCCCGGGCAGGTTTTTGGGGGGCATAAATATCCCTGCTCCCTACCAGCAAAGAAAAGGGGTTCCCTGATACATAAGACACAGATGCAGGGGCTGGAAAAGTGGGGGCATGTTGCTGTACTCAGTGGGGACATTATGTAACAGGTAAGAAGGTTCCCAGGTAAGAAGGTTCCCTGTGTTATTTCTAGTAATGAAAGCCTTACGGTAGTCACACCTGGGCTAGCCCAGTAGTTAACTACTATGCAACTGTTAAAAACGCATTTGAAAACTTTTTGGCATGACAGGAGGGAAAAAGCCTCTTCCAAAATTGTAGTGCAGGATGTTCATCGTCTCAAGAAAAACACCAAAAATTCCAGAAGAGGTTGGAATTATCACTGATTTTTATTTTGTTATACAATGTTTTATTTTAAGCAATGATCCATACAATCAGACACACAACAAATTGTGAAAGTGGTCGGTTCTTCCCTGCTGCAAATGAAAAGGGAACTGGAGCTGAGCCACGGGGGGAGCGGTAGGGGTGGTGGTCTGTAGGGTAAGTCAAGATTGCTCAGGCTTTTTCGCTGTTGGCCTCTGTGGCTAACACCTGCGGCCTTGAATGCAGGAGGCGCTTGCGAGCATGGGCTCAGGGTGCGCGTGCGTGATGGTGGTCACCTGGAGTGTGAGGTGGGCATGTAAGTGAGCACACCTGAGCCTGGAGGTGGAGCATATAAGGGCAGCGTCAGAGGACGGGGTACAGCGGAGAACTCTACAAGGGGAAAGAACATATAGGGATTTGGGGCTGTAGGGGGCGGGGTGGGGAATGGAGGGGGGCTAAGTTGCTGTCCTCCTGCTGGCTTGTTTTCCCCTAACCTGTGGGGATGATGCCAAAATTTCTCTTTTAAGCTGCCTGGTTTAAGACCTAGGTTCACACAGCAACTCTGAGGTGGGCACCACTGGGCAAATTATTCAATCCTGCAGAAAATTAGCCCTTTGACAAGGTGAAGCTCACTCACACCTCAGGCCTTTTGCACTGCTTTGCTGTCCATCCATGATACTGTGCCCCAGATCTTTGTGGGGTTTTTGCTTTGTCATTTGGGTCTCAACTCAAACAAATCTGAGTTGCAGCCTTTAGACACATTCCACAACATTTTTTTTTCCTTTGAGCACTGACTTCTAATTATCTTTCATATTTGCTCTATTGCTTATTGTCTCCTAGAAATGAAATTCTGTGGGAACAGAATGCTTGTTTTGAGCACTGCTTCCTCCCTGTTGCCTAAAACCCCGCCTGTCACTAATTAAATGAATCCGGTGCCATGCAATACATTTTCACCAGGTTTTCTTATTTAATCTTTCTCAGAACCTCAGGTGGTTCACATATGAGGAAAAGGTTAAGAACAGAGAGGTGAAGCACAATGAGTAAGTGGCAGAGCTGGAATTAGAGCTAATTCTGGAATACTTTTCCACTTCGCTACCCTTGCCTCCCATGCAGCCAGCGTGGGGCTGTTTTGGAGAGAGGCTGGGACAGTTCAAGGGCAGGGAACATTAAGAACCAAGTCCAGAAAGTTGAAAACAATAAAAAGACTGAATCGGGTATGGTCGTGGGAAGGAGAAGGAGTAAAGGGTGAACTGAGAGGGAGGGGCTTGGTTGCAATTCAGGAACTTGAGACCGTTTTATAAATATCCCAGCACAGTCTCTTTTATTCATTCCATAAATAGAAATTGAACACCTCCTGTGGAGTTAAAGTGATTCAGAATGACCCTAGAATGGGCCGTGCCTGGACGTAATTGAACACCTACTGTGTGCTCTCCGTGGCCCAGGCTGGGCGAATCTTGTGCTTGTCCTCTCGGTGTCTGGGGCACCATGTCAAGCCAATTGGGCATCTGGTTAGCAGGGGTTAGCTGCCCTGAGCAGAGACAGATGGGAGATTTCAGTCATCATTAAGGTTTATTGACCAGCACTGCTGGAATTTCCCAGAGAGAGGAATTAATCTCGCTACTGACTGAGAGCAGACACCCTGCTGGGAGTAGTTACATAAATTCTGTTGCTCAAATTAATTAGGATTGTGATTCATTTGTTTAATGAGGAAGAATCTAATGGTGGCATCAGGCAAGCCTGCTGGGCCTTCCAGAAGCCAGCCAATCCCATGTGATACTGCGGCTGGTGAGCCAACGGCCAACCCAGTAGGAACAGGGGTTAACTGGGTGGAAGAACCTGGCCAATCAGTAAGAGGAGTAAACTGAGGCAGAAGAGACAAGTAGAGCGCCGTGCTAATTTAGAAGATATGGGGGTGGGCCTCCCCTGGTGGCGCAGCGGTTGAGCGCTGGGTTGCGAGGCTGCCCACAGCCTCTGCAGCGCCAGTTCGATCCCCGGCCACCGGTGAGGGTCCCACAAAAAAAAAAAAAGATATGGGGGTGTCTGAGGTCCTGGGCGAGGTCTCCGAAAGCTCGTGCACCTCAGCTCCTGAGTATGAAATTATCTCTCAGCTTCAATCCAGAGTCTTCTGTCCCCTTTTCCAAGCTGTGGCGAAATGCTAACAGCTGAACTCACCTCAGTAGCATTCCCGGGACCCACCTGCCATTTCCTCCCTCCCCCTCCCTCCCTGCCAGATTATATTATTCACAGGAGGCAGGATTGTTTTCATAAAGCAAAGACCTATTGACTGAAGCATACAGAAATATTTTTCTCTTACTCCCACCTCTACTTACAAAAAGAGACCCTTGCCTTCCACCCAGATCATCCCCACTGCCTGTTTAGGATAAGCCCCAAACTCCAGTGGTCCCCATCACCATCTATGAGGCCCCTCCGGCCTGAGTCTTCACCTACCTAAGGCCTAGGTCTCAGCCACAGGAACACGGGTGGGGAGAGACAGGGGGTGACTGAGCTAGGGTGGCATTTGTGGTCCAGGATAAGCACAATAGCAGAAATACCCACATGAGCAGAGAGAAGGCACCCTGCTAGAAGTGAGCACCATCAGGGAAGAGCCCCACCCCTACCCCCAGGGGCCTTCAGCTTGATGCTTATGGCCAAGGGGAATGTGTGAGCACAGAGGGATGCTGAAGGTCAATGACATAAGGGCACAGGGGGTACTTGGGCCTGGGAACACAGGGTGGGGAGCTTGGAGGGGAGGGCTCAAGTAAAGAGTTCTTTGTGGCTGGAGAATGGGCCAGCATGAGCGGCTGAGCCTGGAGCATTCCATTCCAGCTCATGAAGGTCTCATTTGTTACTCCAAGGAGTGTGGGCTCTGACTTTGAGGCAAAGGTGTGCCAGTCAAGGATTTTGAGCACGAGAGTGACATCAACTGATGTGAGAGATTGTGGATCTGCAGGGATGAGAACAGACGCTGGAGGCCAATTAGAAAATTGTCAGAACAGAGCTGACAGAAAGGAGGGCCCTCACCTCATGGTGCTTTGAACAGATGTGGTTTTCCATTAGAAAGTTATACCTCCATGTGGTTGGACTAGAACAAAAAAACAAACAAGCAAAATTGTGGGAGTTGATTATAAAGGAAGAAAAAAAAGCTGCTGAGGAGTTGGGAGCCCCTGGCCTGGACACCCTATGAGTCAGCCACCTCCTTGCATCTTCCCCTTCATAAACTCCTAAGATTTGGGAGTTAGAAGTATCCCACCCAGAAACAGCACTGGGTATGGGGGTACTTTGTTACACAGCAATATCTGGTGCAGACTTACATTTTTTTTTTTAATTGTCAATCAACAAGGATATATTAAGTGTTCATGTCACTGTCATAGATTCTGGAACCCCTGACAATACAATATATAATACAGCAGAAAAAAGTATAAAACATGGTTCCTGCCTTCTTGGAGCTTTGTGGCAAGACAGGCAGAAAATATACCAGCAAGATCCACCAAAGAGACAGTAAAGTGGAGGGGCGATTTACAAAGGGACGGGGCGGATTAAAGGCACCAAGAAGGGGTGTTGAAAAGCCCCTAGACTAAGAACAAATGGAAACCACCCCCAGGCCTAAAGGGCCAAGGGGAAAGCAGTGTTACTGAAGCCCAGGGAGGGCTGGGGCAGACAGGGTTGCTTGACATCATCAGCTGTGGCCAAGCAGACTCCCACAACCCCTGCAATAAAGCAAAGAGGAAGAAACACTCCAACCTCTGTCCTCCTGCCAACCAGCCTCCTGCCAATGGCTCTAGTAACCAAACCAAACTGGAGCCACTGGCACCTGGCACCCACTGATTCATTACACAGGGGTCAGCCTCCTGAGACACAGAACAGAGCAGGACAAAGAAGGGGGACCCTACATTAGAGGGCACAGAGAGTAACAGCCTAGTGGAACTAGTTTCTACCCTGTTGCTTTTCCCAGAAGAAGCCTGGGTGGAAGCCACTTGCCCAAGATCAGGCAGCAAATTAGGACAGGCCCGTCGTCGGCTCCTCTCCTTGGGGTCAAAGTCCACTGCATACTGTGCCTGCACTGAGGGTAGCCAAGTGGGGGTGGCTCTGCATCCTGGTCCTGCAGCTGAAAATCCAAGTTTCTCAGGGAGGCAGCAGGGCAAGGGCAGCCGTGGGCAGCGCCAGGGAGGATGAGCACACAGAGCTGACCACACACCCTCCACATCTGGAAGGTAATAGACATCTGCTTCCTTGTCTCTTTGTGACCTGACGCCTACCCCCAGCCCCCATTTCCTGCTCTTGAGTCCTCCCCAGGCTCGGGGACAGGAGCTCAGCCCAGGGATTGGAGGGACAAGAGGAGGAGACTCTGCCTCCCTGGTAGCCGGCCCTGTTCATCGATTCCCTAGAGCTGCTCACTGATCCAGCACAAGATGGTTTAATTGAAGTCATTACAATAAATGGTGCAGAAAAGCTACACCCTTCATCTGCCAGGAATCTTGGAGAATC